TTCCCGTGTTCCTGCCCGCAGGTGCCTGCTGAAGTGGCTGGAGGTGCGCTGCGTGTGCCCCATGTGCAACAAACCCGCGGCGGAGCCCCGGGCCGGCATCGGGACCCTCCTGGATGAGCTGGTGTGATCCAGCGGGATCCAGCGGGATCCATTGTGATCCACCACGATCCAGTGGGATCCATGGCAATCCAGCGGGATCCAGTGGGATCCACGACAATCCAGCAGGATCCATCACGATCCAGCGGGATCCATCGTGGTCCTGCAGGCTTCACCACAATCCACCACGATCCAGTGGGATCCACTGCAATCCATTGAGATCCACCATGATCCAGTGGGATCCACTGCAATCCATCGAGATCCACCATGATCCAGTGGGATCCACTGCAATCCATTGAGATCCAGCAGGATCCAGTGGGATCCACTGCAATCCAGTGAGATCCAGCAGTATCCATGGTGATCCAGCAGGATCCATTGTGATCCACCACGATCCAGCGGGATCCACGGAAATCCAGCTGGATCCATCATGATCCAGCAGGATCCATCGTGGTCCTGCAGGCTTCACCGCAATCCACCACGATCCAGTAGGATCCACGGCAATTCAGCAGGATCCACTGTGATCCATCGAGATCCACCATGATCCAGTGGGATCCATCACGGTCCATCGTGATCCAGCGGGATCCACTGCAATCCAGCGAGATCCAACGGGATCTACGGCGATCCAGTGGCATCCATAGCGATCCAGTGGGACCCATGGCGATCCAGCAGCATCCATTGTGATCCAGCAGGATTCATCGTGATCCAGCAGGATCCATTGTGATCCAGCAGGATTCATCGTGATCCAGCAGGATCCCACGGGATCCCCCGGCCCCACTTTGCTCCAGGCTCTCTCTGGAGCTGAGCCCCTCAGGATCCCCTCAGGGCAGAGGGATTGCACGGCTTTGTGTGAAAAAAGGATTAAATGGATGATTTTTAGCCAGTCTGAGCTGTGGCTGCTGCAGGGGCGGCTCATGGGGGACACAGGAAAGCTCAGGGGGGCCCCAGTAAAACCCAAGGGGACCCCAATAAAGCTCAGGGGGGCCCCAGTGAAACCCAAAGGGACCCCAGTAAAACCCAGGGGGGCCCAGTAAAGCTCAGGGGGCCCCAATAAAGTCCAGAGGGGCCCCAATAAAGCTCAGGGGGCCCAAATAATGCCCAGGGGGAACCCAATAAAACCCAGGGGGGGGCCCAATAAAACCTGGGGGGATGTCAGTAAAGTCCAGGGAGCCCCCAAAAAAGTCCAGGGGGACCCAATAAAACCCAGGGGGACCCCAATAAAGTCCAGAGGGGCCCCAATAAAGCCCAGGGGGAACCCAATAAAGCTCAGGGGGACCCCAGTAAAGCCCAGGGGGGCCCAGTAAAGTCCGGGGGGGGGGGCAATAAAGCCCAGAGGGCCCCAGCAAAGCACAGTGTGGATGCTGAGCCCCCCAGGTGCCCGAGGAGGGGACACTGCTGGCCGTGACCCCTTTATGTGGTGACAAAGTGCCCAAAACAGCATCGAGCTGCTGCCCCCCAGTGTCAGGACCCCCCCAAACTGTGCCCAGCTCAGGGTGGAACCCCCCCGATCTCCCCATTTTCGCTCATTTTTGACACGTCCAAGAGAGGATGACGACAGCAGTGACGTCACTGAGTCTCCCAGCTCTAAGGCACCTCAAGAACTGTGCCCACATCCAGTCAGACCCACAATCTCCCCGATTTCCCCAACTTTTCACACGCCCAAGGGATGATGACATCAGCAGTGACACCACTGACCCCTCCAGCGCCGGCCATCCCTCAAGCTGTGCCCCCAGCAGGGTGGGGCCCCTGATTTTCCCATTCCCAGTGATTTTCAACACATCCGAGAGAACGTGATGTCAGCAGTGATGTCACAGAGAGCCCCGGAGCTGCGCACAACCCCTGAAATTGCTCATTTCCACTGATTATCGTCACGGGAAGAAGATGGCGTGGCAGTGACGTCACATGCACCGCCCACGCCGAGGGGATGACGTCAGCAACGACAACACACACCCCATAACATTCGAATTGAATTGAAAGGAAGTGACGTAAAGCGATATCACCCAATCGGCTTTCACACCGAGGGGATGACGTCAGCAGTGACATCACAGAAACGCTCGTAAGCATAGCAGGCTTTTTTTTGACGTTAGACTGATAAAGTGACGTCACGGTGACGTCAGGACCCCCCGGTGGTCAGATGGGACTGTGCCATGTCGTAACGCAGGGCGCACACGTCACGCAGCCGCGTGCCGCTCCCATTCATCATCTCTATGAACCGGAAGGATCGGCGCGACCATTCCCGCGCCCGAACCTAGCGCCGCGCCACTGCTCTGGCGGTCATGGCGACATCGCTGTCCCCCCGCAGCGCTCCCCGCCCTTTGTTTTATCCCCTCCGAGCCGTTCTCCCCGTGCCTTCCGTGCCGCCGTTCCCGGTCTCTCCGCCCCGCACGGCCGCTCTCTCCCGCACAGCGCTCATTAATTAGCGATGCTAATTTATTCACACAAAGACACGCCCCCCCCTCCCGGCGCCATCGGCTTTACGGCAATCGGTGCGGGGGTTTTGCGACAGTTGGGGCGTGTGGTGCGGCTGGCGGCGGCGCGGGGCCGGGGCTGCTC